TTAACGTTAGTGTTTTCGTTCCCACTTCCCTTCACGCCTACCATCCCCCCTTTCCCTCCTCTCAACAACCTGTCTCGACTTACCCCCTCTCGACCCATGCCTCTGGCCCGGCCCATAACCAACAGCCTGCCCCTCAAGGCCCGAAACTGTTTCTGGGTCCCCAACACTGCCCGTGTCACCCGAGTCTCGACTGGCGTCAAAATTCTCTTCATAACTGCTCCCACATTCATCTGCTCTCTCGCGTGACTGCAGAATTGTAGGGGTTGAGCCTGAAAACGGGCCTCGTCCAGAGAGAGCAGAAATTGTGTTATCGGGCTGCAAATTTCTGGTGCTGCTTGTTCTCAGGCTGCCTTCATTACTTTCCCGCCCGTTTTCTCTTTCACGATACCTATTATCTCGTGTCCTGATGGTTGAAAGAACAATAGCAGCCAAAAAGAGGAAAAAAGGCATTGCAATTGAGGAGGAAGATTATTTGACTGACTAAAAATGATGAATAAAAAATATTGGGATGAATAGACTTAATATTTTCTACAGCGAGATTCGTTCACATGACATGAACTTTCATACAAAAGTTGTGTAGGTTGGTAATGATAGTTTTTTTTCTTTCAACTAAAGCAATTTACTGTTAAGATTGGTGGTTTAGATAGTAATAACATGTTAAAAACCTACCTACTGTGACTGGAGGAGGCAAATTCTCGTCTTGATGACCGAACGCCAGATTCAACTTGCTCGATTTCTCTTTGGAGATCTCTCTGCATTAAAAAAAAAAGATACAAATAAAGCGGTGCTTTGGAAAAATAATTTATTTTTCAGGATAAAAAAATCAGTTCCTATATCACTAAGGAAAATTTGGGAAAACAAATAAAGCGGTGTATTTCAACCCAATGACAATTTCAGTTTGTAAGGAAGTTTCAACCCAATGACAATTTCAGTTTGTAAGGAAGGTTCATGGAAGATCCGAGATAAAATGACTCTCAATCACCAATAGACGTATGAATATTCACACGAGTAATTAGTTTCTACAATGAGTCTTGCCTGTGCTTGCTTTTCTTTCTCCATCTCCAGATTGTGCCGCAATTCTCTCGTTTTGGCTCGTTCAAGCTCCAGCAGTTGCTGTCTCTCGAGCTCCTTTTCTGCTTCACTTGTTCTCTCTCTAAATAGACCAAAAGATCGGATTTACAACCCAAATAGAATAGAAATACACAATCATACTGTAGAAAACGATTATCAGTAAAAGAGATGATAATAGACCTATCAAGTTTTTGAATGAGTTCTGCCTCTCGTAAGGCTGCTTCCTCTAGTAATTGTTGACGGGCACGCCTTAGAAGGAGCTTTTGCTGCCTGCGAGCGACAATGTCTTCCCTGAGTTTAGCCTTTTCTCTGATGAAAGAAAGCCAGTAATTAGAAACACACTTGAGTGAAACTACCAAACATAAGTAAAATTTTGCTGAGCTCGGCAAGTAACAAATAAGAATACCAGCACATACATAGATCCAATTCCATCTTTGATTTGCTGCAGCCGGTTATCGTTCTTTGCATATGCTGCATGGTAAAAATATAGATACAATTAAAAAAGAAAAAAAAATACAACTCAATTGACTTCAAGAGAACTATAACATGAAAAAACTACTAGTCTTGTACTGTAATGCGAGAGAATTATCCAAGTCCACTCATAAAATAGCTCATCTCTATTGACAATTTGACCGTATGGAAAAACATCAGTGTCGGGTATTATTACTTGATAGAAGTGGTATCTTCTGCCAATCTCGGAAATCAAAAGATGAACCTGGTATTGGACCCTCTTGCTGAAGAAGTTCCAATTCTATTTCAGCTTCTTCCAATTCCTAAAAGAAATACAGGAATTATTACTATATTAAGTGAATTGAAACAGGCATTATATTAACAATTTGCGCAAGAACTGACCCTCATCTTCCTGTCAGCTTCCTTTGCAAAAAAATCAAAATATGACCTGGCAGAGGTTAAATTGCTGATAACCTGGCAAAAAGTGGACATGGACATTAATGCGTTTAAAGCAATATGAAGGCGATTAACAAGTATACGTCATTATAGGACAAAGCAAATCATTTCCCAAATGGAACTCGACACAGAACTATAGTGTTATTATTCACCATACAGAATCAGTATGAAGATTCAAGCCAAGTCAGGAAGTCATTTAGACAAAACCAAGCTCTGTTTAAACTTTGGACCAAATTGCCTCTTAAAACGAAAAGTTGTAAAAAGGATCAAGTTCTGTACCTGAAGGATGGATTCTCGTGTAGTAGCAAAATCAGGGTCTTCCTGCTTTAGAGAACTTGAAGAAAGCACTTCCTTCAAAAGCTGCGAGATATTATATAAATTAAGAACAAGTAAATGTGAAAAACTAACAGGGATGTACTTAAGAAAAGAATCACAGACTAAAAAAAGCACTATCCATATGCCAGTAACTCATTGCAGACAATGACAAAAATACATTCTAATTATATAACAATTATCTTGTTATACCTCTTTAGCTTGTTCTCCATCATTTTTCACTCTACACAGTGCTTCACATGCCTTTTTCTCGAGACTGGTACAACACTTATCTATTAAAGAAAAAGGGGAAATTCTCAGTATTCCAACATATTCAGTCTGACAGGTAAGACCGGAAAATTTATTTACAGCCAGCAATCTGAAAGAATTTACCAGTTCCAGACATTCCAAAAGTTTCGATATTCCTCCAAATACTTTCAGGAATCAATGAAAGATCTTCACATGGAGAATAAAGGCAAACACTGGCAATGAGTGCTAGGGAGAATTGCGTCAATGGTCCATAACACACCGGTTGTGCAAGAGTCGTAAGACATTGAAGAATACTATCAGCTGCCGCAAGAAATGACTGCAATTTAGACTTCTCAGTAAATGGTATGAAGTTGATAAGAAGTGCAGTTGCATTTGTTCTTAAAAGCAGTGACGAGTCAGATGAAGCCATCAATACTATATTATCCCAGATAGACGAAACCAAAGCGCATAAAATCTTCTCAGAAGCAGAAATAAGTAATTCCGATGAAGATATCACAGATTCGATCGTTCGAGGAATAAATAGTCTTCCACCCTCGGCATCATCTTGGCCAACAAGTCTACCCAAATGCTTTACAGCAATATATCGCTGTTCAGGCTCGGGATGCCCAAGAAAGGTAGAGAATAGATCAATCAGAGGTGCTTCGTCTTTACAGATGTTATGGATGCCTCGATCCAACAACAATGACATCATCTTATCAGCCTGCAGCCTCCAATAGATATTGGGTGCCTTTGTAGAGAAATTCTTTAAGGCCGAGCAAATGTCACCAATTACATTATCCAAATGAAAACACTGAGGCACCTGCAGGAGTGAGTCGAGTAAAACTGCTGCAACCTCCCAACAGTGTTTTTCCTGAAGCATCAAAATCATTTCAGAAAGTGCTTGAAGACTGGTACGCCAAATACGTGGGAGCTCATCAAGATATTCATTTGGGACACGATACTCTTGTCCTGAAGAAGATGAAGAAGAAACTTCCTCAGCAGTCAAGATCAAGGCCCTTGAGTATAAGTAGCACTCAGCGCACGTGAGCACTAGTTTTTTGGACAGTGTAATGTGCAGTTTCCAGCATTGTTCTAAGGTTGGATTAAGCTTCAAAATTAGGGCCTCTAGGTCTTTGGAGAAACACTTCACTTCTTCTAAAGTCAGTTGACCAACCTTTTGACTGGCATCAGCAACTGCATTATTTTCGGACGAGGGGTTGCATATATCATTGAGAAAGCTAGAGGATGACTTGGAAGATTCGTCAAGACCAGAAATGCTAGTATCAGAATATGAAAAGCTTCTAAGTGGAATTATACCCCAGGCTCTGGAAGTAGCAAAAAGCAAATCTCTACAGTTTTCCATGAGAATCTGATATGCACATATATAATCATGAAAAACACCTGATGACTCGAAGTCAGCAAAATCGGCCCATAAAATGGTGGCCTGAAACAGTTCTATTTTGCGGCGGAAGGATAAATAGCAAAAAATGGTGGCTAGAACATATATAGTTAATGCTTGGCACTTTCCGTTTTTAATTGGAGTACATTGATGGTTATCACCATATCTAATATTGTTAAAGAGTTCGCCGAAGCATAAAGTTTCGAAATTATCGCATGAATCATCCATCAATGAGTTTTCTCCATCAGACATCTTGCTTAGGGAATATGCTATGACAGGCTTTAGCAAACACAGGACAGAATCAAGAAATGAGACGTCACAGTATGAAGTCTTGCATAGAGATTCAAGCACTTTCACCACTCTAGGTACTTCTGGGACTATTGCTTCCATGTGCTCGGCTATGATGGCTTCAAGCATGTACAGAACGACAGCTTTTGCATTCTTAGCAACAAAACCTTTAAAATAATCAGGCTTGTTTTGTAAGAAGACCTGCGGGTTCTCGGTTTGACCAAAGGGCCATGAGCATAAATCAGAAAACCAGCACATTAAATCTGGAACAGCAGAGGATGAAAGAAATTTCAACTGCAAACAAACTGCTTCCAATATAGTTTCACCAAAACACACAAACTCGTTCTTCAGATTCGGAAAGAATTTACAGATATCAGGATAGAGAGCATGAAAAGATTGCAACCCATCTTTGTGGCCAGGAGATCTGACTCCATCTTCCATATTAGTATTCTGGATTGAATTTGGTTCTTCAATTGGCTTATCCCTCCCTTTCTGCTCCACAACATTATCTACTAAAGAGAGGTCGTCAGAAAATATAGATAAAAGATAATTTAATTGTGCCAAATCAGAAGCTAGAAAGAGCCGCTCTCTGAGAAACTGCTTTGCATTGCGTGCAACAGCCATCCAACCAAAATACCTCACGACTGGTAAGGCTGAAGCAGAAAAAACGGGTATTTTCTGCAGCCAGGCCAGTGGAGGGATTAAATTTGAGAACCGAAAGCCATTTCTCACACTGATTGGCAATGTAGATCTTTCATCACTACCACTTGAAGCAACAACAAGTCTGTGAAGAAGAATCCAATGGCGTTGCACCTCATGCTGCTTAACATGATTTGACTCATCTTTTCCTTCCTTAAGTAGGTGATAAAATGATTTCAACTGCACGTTGAAGGATCCAGCAAGATACAATATTACATCAACCACATGCTCAGGGGCACAGGATAATTTAGTTGCTGAATGTAACAGAAAAAGAAGACACCAGATTAAAATCTCGTGCCTGGGATGTTGCTCAATATGCGAGTCCCTCTGCAAACGTTTTATCACAAAGTTGCACAGAAGAGCTTGATACTGGCGAACTAAGGTGATGGCATCTGCAGAAACAATATCCTGCTGGGACAAATTTATAACATCCTCCTCCCCTTCAACATAAAATCCAGATATATCACCCGAAGCCACTTTGTGATTTTTTCTATCTAACTCGGCTGCTTCAATTAGGATCTCGAGAACAACTCTATCTCTTTTCCTTTCAATATCAGCCAGGAGATTCAAGTCATTATCTTTTTTTCTGAAAATTTTACTGATTTCTGCAGGTCCATTGTTCTTATTAAAATATGTGAGGTAAATTTTGCTCACTTCAGATGAAATGTCCTTGAAAGACATCATAAAGTTGGGGTTGATATAGCACTCGGCTGCCAAAAGCAAAGCATCAATGGCAACATCATGACTCTCCTTTTCAATCTCTTCCTTAGAGATTAAATCTTGAGCTAAATGCCTGAACTCGGAGGCTCTCATCTCACAATCTCGATAGTTCAAAAGTTGCGAATAATCAGCCAGCATATTATAAAATTGAATTCCTCCAGCAGCTTCTAAATCAACATCATTGGGAAACTGGTCGACTAGTTTCGTCTGAATATCATTTTTTTTCTCCAGAGAAGCATTCGAATGGCTCAACTCCGATATTTTTGTGTCATGAACATGAATAAGAGACATTCTGTTCAGCTCAGGTGGAGCAAAGAAAAGACTGGCATCTTCAGAAATATCCACTTTGCCATTAGTGTCAGTAACATCGACCTTTGTATCGACACTTTCTTGGTTATTTGATCGAGAAGAGGCTACTCCATTACGAGAGGAATGAGACAGCGCAGCTGATGCTTGTGGCTCCACATTCTCAGAAGAAGAGAACTTGCAATTATCAATACCAGGAGGTAGCTGCAACTGAGCATCCAAAACTTGAAGAAGCACACTGCACATAAAGGGCTCAAGGGGTTAAGAATGCCATAGTGTAAGAAAAAATAATACACATTCTGCAAATTAACTCTCATGATGTTGCTATATCAAGCCCCTGGAAGTGCTCTCCTTTTCTAAAGTTACGACTATACACATCTTGAGCTATTTCTGCAGATTAAGATAATTTTTCTTAACTACGCTCCATAAACAGAAAAATGTCAATCAAAATACAGAAAAAATAAATAAATAAAAATCAGATACAGAATTCTAAAGTTAAGAATGTGGAATTAACAAGTCGAAGCAAAAAATAGTAAAAACAAAATGACATGATGTTGTTAGAACTGCATAGGCAGGGCTACTGGAGCTTATGGTAAGTAGCTTTATTGTTGATGACATGATATATATCTTCAGATGCCCTAAGAAACCAAGAATTGGGACAATGTTTCTCCTCCTCAATCTCACTCATGTAGCCTCCATTTCCTACTTATGTGGTTCCTTCAGATATAAGACCCATACCAACATAATCAAACAGCATTCTTCTAATTGAAGAAAAGGACACTGTTCTTGATCAATACTGTTACAACACAAATGTGAATGAAAGACTTAAACAGTCATACAAATGACAAATCACACAACTGTCCGGCCTACAAGGGAATGCCAAACTTAACTAGGTGAACCTGAGCCTAAATTTTTTATCAGACATATATAATCCGGCATCTTAGATATGCTGGGGAAGTCAAATGTAAATGTGGCACACAATTACCTCGGAGCAACTGATCCCTTTCTCCATTCAGCCTCCAATGATGGAAGCACAAAAGGCTTTCTTATGGCTGCGCGAATAACATTCAGCGCTAACGCACAACTGTGTTCCTGGTTCTCAGTGAAAATAGAAGATACATTTCCGAAGGGTATTATGCCCCTTGAGGGGGTTAAGGACGGACCCAGAAAAGGTTCTAGCAATTCCAGCAAGAAGAGTATTCGGTGCTTAGCTTCCTAAAAACAGCATAAAGATGTTAGCCAGAAAACATAGTAGTTGCAGTAAGGTTATAATTATTACTACAGCTGAGTCTTACCATTTAAAAAAAAAAAAAAAAAACTGTTTATCTCTAAAAATCACTAAGGCACCCTTAACGTGCTACAAACACCCATTCATGCGCCGCTTACAAAAATTTACAGCTGAGTACCATTAAAAAAATGATTCTCTCAAGAACACTAAGACCACTTAAAGTGCTACAAACACCCATCCAATTTTCTAGTTGTTACACACTCTTCGCTTAAGCGCATATTGAATATAAGAAAATCAAAAATCAAGAGGGATACAGGTGATTCGAATGAAAATTGGACAATTAGTCTCCAGGGTAGCTGTTGCATTTTATCCACAACAACAACAACAAGATTATGTTTAGAAAGCAATGAACATTAAGGAGCAGTTCCAAGATTATGTGCTTGAACTTCATTTTGGATACCTTATATTTTCCCACTATATCATCCATGTTCCCAGACAGAGCCAGAACAATATATTTTAGGGCAGCACATCCACGGGAGAATGAAAGGCGGGCTCCCTGCCAAATGCATGACAAACACAGAAAATTTAAGGACAAATGATAGCAGAGCCGCGTGTCAAAGCAAGATAATGTCAAAATTTTTCTAACAAGAGCATCTCACAGACATGCACTCGATATTAAGAGAATATAACTTTTATTCAATATTCAAAATCTGATCTTCTATTCAATAACTAGTTTCAATACCATCTCTGGATTGTGGAATATGCTCATAAAAATAACTCTTGAAGATGGGGAACAGGCGAGAATGAAAAAGGAAAAGGAAGCAAAACAAAGGGGGAAAACAAGTTCAAAATCACAGAAACATTGATTTGACTTCAAACAGATGCATAATGAGGAAAGAAATGACATATTGGCACGTGAGACATACTCAAAAAACAGAAGGAAATCAACCAGAGACTTTACATCATGAAATAATGCTGGTGCAGAACTGATTGACATACCTGGATTACACCTAAAAGATCCTCCAAGAGCTCCACAGTTAAGTCAACCTGTAATTCAGGGCATAAAAAATTGGAATGAATAAAAGCGGGTGAATCAGAGGCAGCTAAATACTGATAATGCAAATTTTCATCACGATAAGTTAGTTAACCTTTGCGATTACTTGAGAAATCCATGGTGCTAAGACACCAGAGCAGAGATCAATAAGAACACATGCCGCCTTAGCCTGCAATGGAAGTTAAAATTTAACTACAGATCATATTAAGAACTAAACATCGGAAGAGAAGTTACTAAAATTAAAATACTAATTTTTCCCTTCTTCCAGGATGGATCACTCCACTGTTATTTAAATAAGAATTGCATCCACTCTTAGTGACCAACATGTCAAATATATCATTCCAATTTAAAGTTAGCTGAAGACTTGATGCTAATGCTACAGTAAATCATGAACTAGCACCTAATAAACACAATACCTTGCCTCAAGACAATTAAATAATCATGTGACTGATTGTTATGTTTTATTCTGGAAGAATGAGACCAAATGAACTGATTTATTATGCATGGATCCGGTTGATATTGTTTTCTAGGCTTACAATGCCAGCAAAGATAGTTAAAGGCCATAGCTAGCTAATCTTTTTTCCTCTTCTTTTCTTATTCAGATTTACAGATTTTCATACTAAAACTACTATGTTGGTGCATATTATGTCAAGGATACCCAGGGGTGCTTAAGACAGGCACTTGCAAAAACTTCATGAAAGTGGGTAAAAGAGAGAAAGGAGATCACACCAAAAGAAGTGCTTAGAATGCATGCTTTCAAACAGAAAAAATTATCACTCTTGGGCCAAAACATAGAAAGCAGCAGTAACCAACATGTGAGGGTGAGAAAGATGCTAAATAGCCAGCGCAAGCACGAAGCAGAGGGCAGTAAATTGCTGATGATGAAGTGGCTGCAATCTGTAATTACCATTCCAAGGTTAGACAAATATCAAACTGGAGAGGACCATTATTTTATCTCAACTAAACATACCACTTTATACCTGAGTAAGTGCATTTTGTATGTATGGTTGATTCCAAAGAAAGAAGTTGTCATCAAATTGGTAGGGACCACTGACAATAGGACGAAGTGCTGTAGCAGCCCAAAAGAGATAAATGTGTCAACTAAGTTACTGATCTATTAGCTCCAATAGCCACATACTATATTAAACAGTGTTGCTATAAGGAACCAGCAGCTGACAAATTAATGGAACCAGAGTCAAATGATGTGCCGTGTGCTAACATGTGTTGCAATAATTACATTTGGGGTATGTGTCAATAGTCAATAAATCAGTTGCAGCCGGCTCCATAAGATAGTGGAGCCACTATGCCTATAGAATTTTTATAATTTATACTATTAGATACTACAACAAGACACTAGTTGATAACAATTCACCACGAGTATCAATATTTAGTAAATTGAATATGAAAAAGATCAGGGATCATGCTTGAAGATAGCCATGGGTAGTAAAAGTAAATTTGTGTTTGTACTTAATTCTTATCTTTAATGTATCATACGAGAGTACTTAAGGAAAACTGGACAGAGTATGCAAACTTCCTATGAGAGGAAACACTACATCGCAAGCAACATGACATACATTTCTTTATTAAGTATCATTACCAGTCAAAACAACAGTAATAAAAATGCAGAAGAACTTGATAACCATACAGTAAAAACCAATGTTCTGAAAACCGGACCGGTCATCGAACCGGTCAAGCTACTGGTTCAATGGTTCATTGGTTCAACCAGTGGTTGAACAGGTTGGACCGGTATTTAATTTATTAATAGTTTTAAACATATACAATATTTATACAATAGAATTTATACATAAAAACTTTGATAACTAAATATGAAGTCAACTTAAAACATTCAAATACTTAAAATAACTAATAATAACTTATATATGTCCATTATATTTAAATATATATATTTTATTTAAATATGTATTTTTTTATTTAAGTGATAGAAATTAATATATATTTTTTATTTAAATATGTATTTTTTATTTAAATAGTAACTAATAGTACGATGTTATAAATTAAATTTTAAAATTTTGATTATTACCAACTTAATTAAGGGTCACCTTTTGAGTAATAAAGTTGGCGGATATGTGATGGATTATGATGCCTTCATATTTTTTGGCGGGTCCCAGATGACATAAATGATAAATTTTATGAGCTCAGCACAGTATGTTTATGAGTTTATCTAAGAATATCTTTATTGTGAATTTTTAAAGAGAAATAGGTGCAATAAACTAGGCCCAAATTAACACTGGGATCAAATCCACATCGGAAACAGAACAAAAATAATACAGCTATTTAAGTGATCACTTTTGAACATCCTTAAAGCTTCATATTTGGAACCGGTCAACCGCTCAAACCTGTTCCGGCTCGCCGGTTTTGATCCGGTTTGGACGGTTCCCGCACGGTTTTCACATATGACGGTTTTAAGCACCAAACCGGGCCGGAAAGAACGCCGGTTCCCGGTCCAACCGGTTGAACCGGCCGGTCCGGTCCGGTTTTCAGAACTATGGTAAAAACAAACCTTTTTTTCAAGAAAAGATTCTGAAAAAAGGGGGGATCTGAAAACACAAAATGAGTAGTAATATTGAACAGGAAATTTGGTAGTTGGACTGTTGGACGATTTGCGCAATTTGTGAAAGAATAATTTCAGAGCAACCCAGTCAGCAAACAGGTAACAGCAATAAAACCTGGAAGCAACGCTTGAATTAAAGGTAATGCGAACCAAAACTCCTCAGTGTGCTCGGCCAGCTTGCTGCAGTGCAAAGGCTGAAACAACACAGTACCAGCAGTTGTTCATAATGGTGATAAATGGCGCTACACAAATCGCATGCAAGTTTACAAAACATCATGCTGCATGTACCAAACCTGAGATGCAGAAGCATATAAAACATGCATTATTCCTTCTTCCACAGCTGCAGTATCTAAGATATTCAGATATGCAGGATCCCAGGAATCATCTGGTATTCGAAATTCCTCCCCAAATAAGTTTGAATAATCAGCTAACACAGTAGGATCACAAGGATCAGATTTAGGCATATCATCAGCCACAGAAGATAAAATGTCGGAAGCCTGAGTAGATACTTCATGATTTCTCATGGGCCCCATAAGCTTCGTAAGAATTCTTGATGCCTATATTATTGCAATCACGGATTGAGAAAGTCAGGGGAAACAAATAATGGAGCTCCTTTCTTTTACATATAATTTTTACATTTTCTGGTTCACCAATTGAAGATGTTATGCAAACAAGGAAGTATATAGGGAAATAGCGACCATAACTCACCATTTTACACACATTCCCCAGGTTAGAATCTTTGTAAGCCTTCCTAAGAAGTACAAAGACTGCATCAGGACGGTATACCAGGTGCATTGAAATAGGTGGGAAAATAGATGATGAATTCCGTGATCTCCTTGGCTGAGCATAGAAAAAGATTAAAAAAGGGTTAGCAAGGTAATTATCAATAGAACTACTAAATACAAGTTGCTAGGAGCATTATTAAACTGAGGTTAGAAGAAAGATTTCCATCTTTGTGTACAACAGTAATAAGTATGTCAAAGCATTAATACAATATCCATCAAGGGAAATATACGTGAACATAATGTAAGCATGTGACCAATGTAAAAACTCCATTAGAGGCAACGACCAAGTGACCATTAAATAATTACATTGCAGAATAAAAGATCACACATCATGGTAATAGAATTTGTACAAAATATGAATCCTTAACTAGCAACTAAGTTTCATGGTTGTTCGATTGTTCAATATGTATGACTTCGAATAAACAACAGAGCTGTAATAATCCCCATGTGTTCGAAATCACTTGTGATGCACACACATCGAAGGTGAAGAAACTAAAGGAGATTCACTAAAGGAAGAGAAGTGTTTAACAGAAGATTCACTAAAGGAAGAGGGAAATAAAAAGGGAAAGTAATGGCAAATCGTCAAAGCCATGTCAATTCGGATATGGTGCCGTGCGTCACAGCATCAAGTAGATTTTAGAGATAGACAAATGCAGTACCTCGAAATTTGAGGAAACCGTCAAGTTTGTGGATGACAGATTGGTCTTAGAAGCTTCATGTTCTGAGGCATTGAGAGCCAACCGTGCAGATTCCCTGTCATTCCGCAAAGATCTTTTGTATAAGTCATTTCCTACCAGGGGTCAAACAATCTTTGAAGAAGATATATTAAACACTTTGGAGCTATTCATCTTTTCCCTACAACTTCATATGATCTTCATGGTCATTGATTTTTTATTTATTTATTGTTGCTCTCCTCTATTTTCATTTCCTTCAATGCAATTTGTCAAGTACACCAACTCAAACGGCACCACATTGCCTTACCAAGAACAACGTGGTTTAAGTAGGAATAGGAAGGAAAATATAGGTTATTAATTGATGAAATCCAAATATCTGCAACTTTTCAATATATTATACCTTGTTTCATCTCGGAATTCAACGGTAACTTTGGCAGACATTCCACTATTTTGAAGAAATTAATAAATACACTATTTGCACCATTGCACCGAAATCAACAGTCCAGAAGTAAACCAAAATTGAAACCCAATTTCGCTCCTTCCTCTACTAAAATTAAACTATATCTAATGTCAGGAAATTCATGAGATTGCTCGAACACAACTTATTGACCAACAGAAATATTACTATCATGAAAGCAGTTTGCAGATATAAGCATTCGTCTGAAATTAAACTACTAGAGAAGCAGAGGACTTTTCTGCATGGGAAAGATAATATATGTTCCCTGAAATTTCATTGGGATTATTACAAAAACTACCAGAGCAATTTAGCCTAATCGTGAAAGCTGCAATTATCTTCAAAACCTTAAGTACCCCATTAAAGGATTACAAATGGTTTACTTAAAGTTTTTATTTCCTAATATATACCCAACTTTTGACGGTGCAGTTTCTGAAATGATTAGGAAAATAGTATTTGTAATATATAAACCTCAATGGTGCATGTTATATCCCAGTTCTACATCAATGATTCGTTATATACATTACGAAGATAAATCAAGTGAAGCTTGAAAATTATTCTCCTACTATAATAGAACCTACCTTTCACTAACAATCTTGAGGATGGGATAAAATGGACCAGCAAGCATAGCCAGAAAACGCATAGTAGGTTCCGGAGCTTCTGAAAAGCTAGTAAGATCACCCTGCAAGATATTTATTGATATTAACAAGAGTTCAGTAACTTGTACCGCAACAAATTACTTCTTTTCCTGCATATTGGGGACTCAGAATCTATACCTCAAGGTGAGGAAGAAAAGTAGCCAACCTGATTGTCACATCTTGAAGCAACTACAAACAGATAGTTAGACAACAAGGAAAAGCAAGCAGCTGAGATCCATACAGTTCGCATAGCAAAAATCACTAGAGGCATTTCAAATATTTATTAAGTTAATTCACCCGAAGATGCATATCATCAGCTTCTTGCTTTTGTGATATTATGTGCGGTAGCAAGTGGTTAGCAACTGGTTGAAACTCTGGCTCTAAACCTGGAACTGGAATCCCGATCAGCTGCAATGGAAAAATATAGAAAACTATGGTCGGGATAGAAAGTAGGCAAGACATAAATAGCCAACAAAGTTTATACAGGTAAGATAACAGATTGGGGCAGTATACACTTACATAGTGTGACAACCTAAAATCAGGCAGAAAATGCAAACACAACAGGAAATTCAAATGACAATGTCAGCCAAATAATGAGTCAGTGATGGAGAATGAGGCTAGCAAGTACAGTGCAGTAAGAATTTCAGTTTTACCTGTATAAAAAATAAAGCTATTGGGTTCCCACGCATACAAGATATCCGCACATAGCGGCAAGGAGTGTAATTCATTTGGTACATCATGTCACGCCGAGGCGCCTCACAACGGGAACGAACTTTAACAAATGTCTCTGGCTGTCAAGATAATATGAAGGATAGTTATGAACAACACTTGTGAGATAATAATGTTAAAGTACAAAAGCAGAGCCGCGCAGTAATCCCCCTTATATATTAATTCAGAACGTGCTGAGTCTATGTGGAAGGCTCGCATGCTTCGGGATCCTATGTGGCAAAATTACATGCTTCGTTATTAGGCATGGATAGATTTAATTTACTTCTAATCTAAAAACATTTAAGTTCGGATTATCTATGAATATGTTGATTATTTATGGTAGGGGTGGGCGCGGTCCGGGACGACCCTGGATTTGACTTGTCCGGATACTCATCCCACTTTTATGAATCGGTCCGGGATGAGGCACCGTCCCCACCCATGTAATACATGGGTGTTGTACTAGTATAGTTAATTTGTAAAAATAGTGGGTAGTATCACAAGTTACAAGGACTATTGAGACAATGGACAATGAAAGTATTAGAACGTTAAGATCTGCAGGCCATGAAATTGAAAATGAAAAGTTCCAAAACAGCAAGAGTTGTAAATCTACGATTTAACCACTTCCCAATCAGAGCCACTGGACAAGCTGTCATCCAAAATACATTAAAAAAAAGCACATGAAATAGAACTTTATACACTATACAAAAAGAAAAGAAAGATGAACCGCCCACCATAGGAAAATTAAACCAAAAATAAACATTATATTTCTTCTTGATGCAGTAGTTATATCAGCCATATAATATAGCAGAATCTGTAATTGTAACTTCTTAGTTCGACACAGGCTCGTAGCAGTTACTACCATCTAACTGATGGAGTAAGAGTACAAACAGAAATAAAAATACACATGAACAAAACTAAAAGTATGTTAGGATACTTTAATTTTTGGGCAACACATGAGATGCATATTGCATAGATATTGTCTCCCAGATGGAGTAAGAACACAAACAAAAATAGAAAATACAAAACCATAAAAGTAAATTATGTTACAACATGACTTTTTACTTGTTCAGGCATAAGTAAGATGCATAACTCTTGTGGCCTCAATATTTTTACTTCAATCTGTTGTGCAAATACAAACCAACTACTAAACAACCTCATATAGCGCACTGTGCATTGCAACATAAAACCATCAAAAAATAAACCCTTGAAGATATTTCACACCAAGCTAGTCAAATCAGACAAGCACCTCAAAAGTGGAAATAGCACGAATAAAAGACGAGTAGATGATTAAAGGATAAGAATGTACAAAACTTCAAGGATCAACTACAAAAAGGTTCAGAAGAGCAAGATTGAAGTTAGTTTAATTAAGATTATTTAAATAAAAAAAAAAAAAGATATCTACAAAAACTTCATGTTTCACAAACCTTATAACGTAATCCAGCTGAGATTTCCCATTCCAGCACTGATTTATTATATATCCTTATGTGTGAAAGCAGACACGGTTCCTGTAATGAACCGGAAAAATAAAAAATTAAATCCACCATTGAAAACTAATCAATACATAATGCACATGCTGAAATCTCACATCGAAGTCAACCGTAGCAGTTTAAATTTACAAATGCATCTAAAAATTCGAAGTTGCATGACACACTTTATGCTATCTACACTGCTACTACAAATTCAGTAGCTTCATTGTCTTTTATATAATTTTCACAAGCCTTCATTAGCAAATACTCATAACCAAACTCGTAAGCAGCAACACTGATAATTAGCTACTGGTGCTGTGAAGCCCCAAATGTAGAAGATGTACTTAAGAAACAACGATACGGCCCACTACAGCAAGTTACAGACTGATGCATAAGCATTTGGCTTCCAAATTCATAATATATGATCAATTCACACACAAACGCAATTTGTATTTTCTGACATACTATCATACAACCAGCCACACACCACCTAAGTACCAAAAAGTTTTAAAACACTACTTTTTTTTTCAAGAAAAATTAACTATTCTGTTCATGAACTACTCAAAGTTTAAAATCAATCCTCCTCAGTTCCCTTCTCCTAAATTAAGCTAAGCACTTTGACTCCAGCTGAGTAGCCAAATTTCATGCCCAAGCACACAAGATTCTCACACGAACCCACTTCTACTTCAAATAAAATCAAGAGCAGCTAAATTCAATCCAAGAGCAAACAGAAAAAGGGTAGATGAGATTTCGCCATAGCAATTACAACAGACAATACGAGTCCTATACATACGTCGAGCTCGAGCAAGATCCACTCTTTGGTGTTTGTTCCCGTGGACCAATGGCTTCGGAGGTCCGTGTCCAGCACGTGAGCGGCCTTCTGCGCGGGGGACTCTCTGGAAGTAGCCTTCACCTTATAAGTCAGTGGTTTCACCCTTGGCTCCAACTCCACCTCCATCTCTCTTACTCTTTTTCTCTCTCAAGAATGTGTTTATCGCTTTGAGAGAGGTGGCGTGAATTCGAGCTCTGCAAATTCGGGGGCAGGTTTTCAGAGAGAATTTGACGAGACGATGGAGAAGAAAATAGTCGGGAAAAAGGAAACAAAGAAAGTTAAGAGTTTAAGACCATGTTTGGATGTTTCTCAACTACGAAAATAAAAAAGAAAATAATAATGATAATAATATAATAATAATACTAATCTATACTTATATTATATGATTTAACATTTATCAAATTTAGTAGTTGAGTCAATGGTCAAAGTGAACTCTACATTTATTACTTTCCAAATATGGCAACTTGAATGTCCTTTTCACACGCTAACTTGAATGTCCTTTTCACACGCCAACTTCAATGTATTTTTCAGGTTATTTATCCGCATATTCAACCGCATGATAAGGAAACGTATTCAACCGCATATTCAAAATTTAGGAGAGGAAAATAAGGAAACGTATGATAAGAGAACTCCGCATATTCAACCGCTCCCATTATTTTTCACACGGTCAATTAGTCATAGATAGATTAGGAGAGGAAAATAAGGAAACGTATGATAAGAGAATTCCGCATATTCAAAATTTGTTCATAAATTTGTTCCACCTTAAAACTCCTTATAATAAGGATCAGATAATTGTACTTCCTATCAAAATTCAAATCGTGTTACAAGATAACTACGCATATTGTACAGATTTTGTTTTCAAGAGTTGAGAGATAAAACGACTCCATTGATTTTTTACCGATAAAAAAGAATTCCATAACAACAAGACTTTCATTAACATCGATATATATATATATATTCTCTCAGTACCACCATTATCACCATCGCGCATTCATCATATTACAATTACAATTACAACTACAAAAGCCAAAAAACCCTCTTCGATGGATCAAGCATTTGGATTAGTAGAAGAAATTAACAGGAGCAAAAGACCAATGCTTAAAGTCCGCATTGTGAGGATGTTTTATCAAGATAAAGGCAGCACTTTCAAGTCGCATCTCGAGCTTATTTTGCATGATAGGATGGTACGAATTTGTAATCAATTTTATTTTAAACTATTTTTTATTTAAATAAAATCGGCATTACTCTTAATTTTCACTTTTTAATTTATTTGTGAAGGGAAAACGAATTACAGCAATTATGAGAGCAGTCTACTTACCGGATTTCAAGGAGAAGTCCATTGAAGAAAACATGGTCATTCTCATACGAAACTACCAAGTTGATAGCAACCTTGGTATGTACAGATCTACGGATGCCGAGTTTAAGATAATCCTACACGGGGGCACTATATTTATGAAATGCAAAGACACTGTGTCTTTTCCGATGTTCCGATTTTCATTCAGAGACTTTGCAACAATGCAAGACGTCAACAAAATAGACGAGTCAATTCTATTCGGTAATTTCACTCTACACATTTGGGAATATTATTTTACGTAATTGATTTTCAAATCTTTATTTATTTATAGATATAGATTAAAAACCATTTTTTTGGTTCGTAGACGTCATTGGATTAGTTATTGATGTCCAAAGTGTACAAGACAAGCAGGTCAAAACAGGTGATACACAAATGGTGGCCTTCATCCTCATGGACTTAAAGTAAGTTTACACAACTTAAGCTACTTACATAAAATTCAAACGTATATATATTTTAGAACACCCTTATTAAATGCTTTATTTTTTAAATGCAGTGAAAATTTCATTAACTGCACAGTATGGGGCGACTATGTAGACAAACTATTGGCTTTTGAGAGCCACTATGAACATACTGGTCTACCATGGGTCCTCATCATGCAGCAAGCACGTGAGAAAGAATACCTTAGTAAGTATATTCTACAATTATTTTATTCACTTAGAATACGTACGAGCATCCATCTAACAAGTTATACTGCTTTTGTAGGAAAAGTACAAGTTACTACTTCTTTGAACGTCACTAAGCTAATTGCACACGATTCAGTGGAGGAGATCAATGACTTTTGGAGAAGGTTAAATTTAATTACAACTTTATCTATTTTATCAATATTATTTATTTATATAAATTATATAAATTATTTTTTAAACTGACGTTTTCTACTGTAGGTACACTTCAAGCAATTTGAATAGGACAAAATACAATTCTCAGTCGAAAACTATTATTAAGACTGAATTGGAAGAACTGCAATCTGGTGATATCCCAGTTTCTTCGGTGGAATCTTTGTTCAAAAATAAAGAGGTATATATAATTTAATTTCGAAGCATTAATTAGCACTTATAATTTATGTCTGTAATATTCACGGTAGAAACTCATAAATATTTTCTCTTCAATGAATTTTCAATTCAGGATAAAAGCATATGGATATGTGCTTCCATTGACTCTGTTGTGGGTGATTGGTGGTATTTCGCTTGCCGCAGTTGCAGCAGCAAAATGCTGAATTCAGACATTGGTTTCAAGTGTAGCAAATGCTCAAAAGAAGTCGGGAAGTTCAGGTATTTTTCTAATTTTCAGGATACATATTATGTTTATTTGTTTATTTTCTAACCATAATCTCCTTAATAGATACAAGATGAATCTGAGCATCTCAGATTCAACAGCTAATGCAGATATTGTCTGTTGGGACAAAGAGTCTGAGATCATCATTGGAAAAACATGTCATACTTTGAGAACTGAATTCATGCGCAAGGTTGTTTCTCTATAATCATTAAATTTTCAACAAATTCAATTGGGTCGTTAACTAAAAGTTCCTTTTTTTTTTCTTATAGAATGCAGCAACTTACAAGTTGCGCGAGGAAATAAAGAGTTTAACTGGTCAGGCTATTCTTTTTAAAGTTCGTATACAGCAGCAACGATACTCGAACACATTGTCATTTACAGTTTGTAGGGTTGTAAATGACAAAGATGTTGTTTCCAAGTACAGCCAGCTCATAATTGCACCAGAGGTGATAAATTGAATTTTCAACTTTTGTTATTCACTTTGAACCTGGGGCTAAGATTTTGTGTTAAATATTGTAGGTGTCCGACTTTTTGACGATGATTCGAGGAGATGATAGCAGCTATTACGTGGTATTAAATCTATATAATTTTTTGTACACTGTAATTTCGAAATAGCAGTATTAATTAGATGCAAGTATTTGCAGGATGATATTGATGAAGAAGATGAGGTTTCGACACCTCTGAAAATTGCAAAGGAAATTGAAAAAGGGGGAGATTCATCAGCAAAGCGCAACTTGACCGATATGTTCGAATCTGAAGATCCTAAACCTAAGACGCTAATGTCTACAACGCAGGATAAAGGCAAGGCTAAGGTCTACGAAGATGGTTCTCTTATGCCAACGGAAAATGCAGATGATTCATCTGAGTGAAAGGACGTAGGCAGCTTCAAGTTTATTAGCAAGCTTTAATTATATTTGAATGTTTATTATCAAGCTTTTATTAGATTATTTTACCTACCCCAGGCCGTGGGCATTGTTTTTCTATTGTTTTTGGACGCTTAATTCAACAGCTAGACTAAATAAAAGCATTTTATAATTACTTAATTATTTGTTCATCAACCTTTTATTTTTTTCAATTAAGTCGTTCATAAATCTCTCTATAAACTACTTTAAACTACCGGCACTATTTTTACATACGTATTAACAGTCTCACATAAGCAGAATAAGCAACTACAACTATGCACATCCATTCATGTATACATCAAAAAAATATAAAACAATCACTTCTAATGACATATAAAGCATGTATAACATAAAAATTTAGAAACCAAAATTCTAACACCAATGGACTAACTATTCTTTAATAAGCAATCCACTTATAAAGCAAGAATAATAAAAAAATATATAAATCAAATTACTTACATCTATGGACTAACCATTTTTTATTATTATTGTAACTCAAATACAACTATAGATATAGATCATATTTATAACACCTTTTCGGTTTGCACTAAAAAATTAAACAGATATTATAATTATTCTATTAACTAATGGAGTATCGTATGCATTGAATTATTTATATTTTATTTCCAAATATATGCAAGTGCGAATATGATATTTTTAATAAGTCAATATAAAAAAAATTTATCTATTATATTTTGATTGCATAATAATTTATTAAAAGTATACATATCGATCATACTTATAGATATTTTTTCTTAATACATTAAAAGAGTAAACGTAAAATACTCTCTTTTTCTCTTACCTAATTAGATAACGTGTACATTGAATATTTTGGTTTTCACTGCTAAATAGACACGTGCAAATATATTAGTTTAATAAGTCAATCTAAATCAGTGTTTGATATTTTTAAAACTCTTTCAACCTCATCCATATCTAACAGAATCTGAATCATCTATTTAGCTCTCTATATATTCTTCTCCTATAATTCTTCTATTTATTTACTTCTTCAGAAACTGTTGAATTTACTACTTGGATTTCGACTATCACCAAAGAACAAGAGACGACTTAATCAATCGACGGAATGAAAGGGAAACCAGCCAAAAGAAAGCAAACATCAAGCAATCCTATCAGCAACATTCATGAACAGGAGAACAATAACACAGATAATCGTGGATCTACTAATAGAGATGACAGAGGTCGGCCAATAACACAAACCATGATGATCGATAATGAAATTCCCAATTCAAGTAATCCTTCTAACTTGAGAGTTATTTTCTGTTTTCTTCTATTAGGTTATAATATGATATGTGTATTTTATGTTCAGCACCCTACTCATCTTCTATATGCCACAATGTTTTTGCATTGACAAAGCAATTAGGAATTGAGAAATTTTGAAAGAAACATATAAACAGAATTAGATTTACCTTTGTCTACCTGTCAATTTGTTGTGAAGTCATATCCTTTTGGACTTTCTTGGCATCACCCTCGGTCATTAAATCATGCAAAATTCAATTGAGACATTAGTTTAGTTACACATAATATAATTGTTTAATCATGGTCTTTATGTAAATATGGAAATATTTAAAAAAAAAGTTTAATTCATAGATTCTGTCTGCCAAATGCTTCTCTTTTGTTGATATTGTTCACCCACTTCAATAACTGAAAACTGTTGCACAAAATAGAGAAATTAAATAATGTTCTAATCTAAACAATCTATATAGGAATAAACTGAGGATTACC